TCTAATTAGTGGGCTAATACTTCTGTCCATCTGCCTTTAATTAGAGAGCCGGAGGAAAAAGCTGGAGTTCTTTTTCCTGTGAATCTTACTTTTCTCAAGATAGTTGAAAAACCTTGATAATTTAGACTTATTATTTCGTAAGTATGGATATTCTTTCTATTCATTCAGATTGCATCCCCTCCATCCCTTAGCCTCTTGAAATACTTATATTTCATTAATGCAGTCTTCTATGTGATTGTCTAGGAAATTTACCAACAACACTTATGATATTGGGGGTCTGAATATTCTCAAGATAACAGTTTCCACCAAAAAAGCTATTTTTTTCTATCCCATTCTTTTTTCCCCTTTCCTCTCAAAAAAAATTAGTGCATTTTCTTTTGGAACCTTTGATTATTGTATTACTCCACTTGATCTAATCTAATAAATAACAATAATTCCTACTTGTCCAGGATAAAACATTTATTTTTAGTAAATGGAAAAGATGTCTGTTCTTTTTGTTTCATTGTATTGTGTTCTTTGATGTGATAGGGAAAGGAGGGCCTGATGTGTTTTGGTTTAGGGTTTTGTATATCCATTTAAAGTTACACCTGGTAATTCCTTTTAAAAGCTGTTCTACGGTCTCAATAGTGAAACTTTTTGTTTGTTAGTCTTTCCCAGGGTTGAGTTTGAAAGCTTCCTCTATAGTTACTACCATATATTTCTATTTATACACATGTGTGTTTATAGACACATATGTATCTATATAGACACACACGTTCACACACACACACACATATATATATATAGTAGACATATATACTTATATCTTCAATGGTCAAATTTAAAATTTAATCTCTGTTTTCTCTTCATTTTTGCATTTATTAAATGACTTAGTAAACTTTTGAAGAAAAGTTAGGTAGGCTGTATTTTGAAATACAATTATGAATCTGGCATGTAGTACTTTTTGAAATGATTTTTTTCATTGTTTTTTTACATTATTGAAATTAGTAACCATTTTTGGAGAGTTTCATGTTGTAAGGAATTCTAAATTTCTTTTTACATTTAAGCATAATACAGAATGTGGTTTGTGTTAGTAGCTAGACAAGCATGTCTTTTTCTGAGTCTTAAAAGTTGGCTAGTGACTAGTGAAAAGTATTTCTCATTTATTTTTTGAGTTTTTAGTTTTTTAGAATATAGTGAAACACAAATACAATATTTTTATTGGAGATTTTCATTTGTCCAAGTTATTCAAATGCTACTTGTAATTTTATTGCTTGTGAAAAGAATCAAGATGTAGCTGGTTCATTTGTGTTTTGCCCTGACATTTTTTAGTACAGTGGTATGAATATAGCCTATATTTTTTCCACCGGATCTGGCTTATATAATACCAGAGTGCCACCTTTAAATCAGGGTTTTGTTTTTTGTTTTCCCTTCAGGAGGATTTCATTTTGGAGTATACTTGGACCAGTAAAATCTTATCTAGGTGTTATTTTAGATATTAGGTAGAGAAGCAGCGTCTTATAATGGGTAGTGAGTTAGCTTTAGGGCCCAGAAAACCTGGGTTCAAGTCTCACCTCTGACACATATTGGCTGTGTGACTCCAGGCAAGTCATTTAACCACTCAGTGCTCTAGGCTGTAGGTGAGAAAGTGCCAACCTGGATTGATAGAAGAAACAGTTCCTCACTGATAGCGCCTAATACCAATTAAAGTACAGGTCCACTACCTGTTCTTATATTTTGAAATGTGATCAGTGACTCTAAAATCATTTGCCAGTTCTAATAACCAGCTTTATTAAAAAATATTGAATCTGCAAGAGACTATTATATTAAATATAAAGTTAGTATGAATCACTTAGCTGAACCTAAGCATCTTAAAATTATTAAACTTCATAAACTTATCTTCCCAGCTTCCACTGTAAAATCATAATTTAGTCAGGGATTCAAGAAATCTAATTTGTTGATATATTCATTGTTTGCAAATCATGTAGTAATTGTGATTCTAAAAATTTAGTCCTCACCTTGTAAAGAGATTTTATCAAAAATTTAAATGGGTCTTAATTCTTTAAGAACTTAGATAAAATGTTTTTGTATTAATATCAAACTATTATTGGCAAAATTATTCCTGTCTTTAGTGGCTCTATTGCTTCTGGATAACTATGTACATGTGTTAATTATATTTTTTATCAGATTGGTCAGGTTATTTTAGAACATTCTGAAGGGTATACTTAAAAAAAACACTTCTCTTCCCACCCCAAAAAGGTTTTTAAAATTTTTTTAAATTAACTTGACTGGTTGACATATCATTAGAGAATTTATTGGAAAAAGTATTTCCTGTTTGAAGAAACTTGCTAAAAAGTAAGTTTTAAAAATGGAAAGAACTACAAAATCTAAATACTTAAAATAACTGATAAATATGAAAAGCAACTAGAATAGTCTTGTGTCCATTCAACTACTACATTTTTCTTTTTCCAAATGCATCATATTGGATATGGAATAGTTCATATATATCGTATACTGGGATTTTGGGACTGTGTTCATAGGATCCATAAAGGTGAATTTATCGTTTTCACAATTGCATCTCTGAGTAAGTAATGTTATATGATAAAGTAGAAGTGAAGTCTGACTCTTTAGTAAAGAAACTATATCCTGTTATTTATCTGTGTACATTTGCTACTACATTTGCTGGTGGTTTGCTAAATAGTCACTGGAATACAGCTCCCATAAAAATGAGTGGAAAAAGAGGGTGGAACATATGGTATAAGTCAGAAAATCCTGGAATTGTACTTTTACTGATTGTAACTTTGTAAGGTTTCATTTTTTTTATATATTATCTTGTATGTATATCCCCTTCCAAATATTAGAAAATTAACTTAATATTTTGTCTTTTGAAGTTTATACATGCATTAAAAAAAAGTGTATTCACTGTTCTTCCTTAAACACACTTTGTTAATTTTAGGAAATATCTTCTCCAAGTGGAAACATGCTAACTTTTTCTGTAAATTTTAAATAAAAGGTGCTGCTTCTTCCTCTGTACCAGGACTGATGTGTGTTTTCTGTCTCTATCCCCACCCATTTTTTTTCTGCTTCTAAATTTGTTTGAAACTAGTATCAACATGGTTTTGTGGATAAAGCACTGCTAGCTGGTTTGAGTTGAGATTTGGGTTAAAGTCCCTTACTATTCCTTATTGTATTTCAATTTCCGTCTCTAAGATGATTTGTAAAGTGCTTTGAGGGCCTTCCCCCCCCCCCCAAAGCTACCTATAGTGTATAAAGTGATAATAGGACATAATTCTGTTTGTGTTTTGAGAGGCAACCCCAGTAAGAAAGGATTATTAGTTTGTACCAACATGAACAGGATACCTTGTGTCCCTCTATGTAGGTATTCTATTAACTTGATTTGGAACTTTATTAATAATATAAATTTGGGACTTAAACTCAAAATATTATATAATTGCTAGCTTTTCTATATCTGCAGAATACCAAAGGAATACTAATGGAATAATAGGGGAAAGCTTATTGGTGTAAAATATTGAACGAAAGCACATTTTTGTTAGAACTACAGCTTAGATAGAGCAAAACATTTAAATATGTCAGAAATCAAAATCATATTCACTTATTTTAAAATATGGAGTTAGACTTCTTGTTTATTTTTTAATACATTTTTCTAGAAAATAGAGTCAGGATAAAAAAGTTACTAGAAAATTTCTTTTAATATTGATTTAAAATCAGGAAAACACTTAGTGATATCCTTAGAGTTTGTTCCCAACACGTCCTATTAAATAATGTAAATTACATAAACATACAAGTTAAATGATTTGCTTGAAGTCAATCGTAGATGCATAAACCTACATAACTGACCAAATTCTTGCAGTGATGTAGACCCATCACTTAATTCTAAATTATAGTTTTCTGTATTCTATTTCTTAGGTCCACTACTTTACACAATAATAAATAAATGTTATGATTTAGGCTTATGTGAAAGCTTCTACATATAGTATCTAAAGTTTTGTTTTTACAAAGATCATCACAAGTCTTTAACGGAAAAGCTAAATGGCAAATGGTTTCCCTGTTTTCAATTAAGCATGCAAGAATTTAATTGGAAGTCTGACTCCTGAAAAGATTCAGTGGTGGGTGGGAAAGTATTAGCCTAAGCTAGATTATGTTTGATAATAAGAGGGTGGCAGGTATAGTATGGCTAAACAAAACTTCCTAGATTAGTCATATCATTTGGCCAAGAGTTTGAATTTCTTCTTCCCAAACTTTTCTTTCTTTCTTTTTTTTTTAAACCAGAACTGTTAAGTAAAATGGACAGATTTGACTTCACCTTCTCTTCACCTTCTCTCCCTTCAGCTACCCACCCTCTGGGGGAGGTACTAATGAGCTGTGAAATGTCCCAAAGACAAGCATTGGGGAGAAGAAGAGAAACAGAGGACATGGATAATCCACAAACTTGATAATAAGTCTCAAAACTAAGTTTAGTGAATATTTTTAAGAAATATTAGAAAAGGAATATATCCCATTTTGAATATTTTTCTGAACCCCTTTAAAGCTGAGTTTTGGCACTGAAATAAAACAAATAGGAATACATTTGTGGGGCTTGAACTTGTGTTCCAAATTTTATTTATTTAAGAAAAAAAACCAGATACTTGATGTTAACATCTTTTACTGTACACATTTGATTTCATTTGGGACTGAAGTGGTTTAGTGGGGAAAGTCAAAGCCCCAAATTTTTAAAACATGTTATAGTTTTCAAATATCACTGATATTTTTGTTATTAAGTGTAGTTAGTTAAATATAAGGTTATTTAAGAATGTTACTAAATCTTAGGTATAATACAACTTCTATACATGTATGTATAAAAGTTGTCATATTTAAATTCAGTAATAAAGGGAAATGTTTATAAGGTATTGTTTGTATATTAAATCATTTAACAATAACTAGTGCCTTTTTTAAAGCAGAATACGACCCCTTGTTTCTTCCCATGGCTATAGTGAAATATAATCCATACGCTTCATCTTCAGATCTCAGATGGTCAAGGAGATGAACCTTCAGAGTCCCCATATGAAAGTGCAGATGAGACTCAAACTGAAATTTCTATATCTTCTAAAAAGTCTGAGCGAGGAACCACAGCTAAAAAGGAATATGTTTGTCAGGTAAGCTGAAAGCTTTCATTCATAAGTTAGTAAATGTTCAGTGATAATGGGCTTTTGGCCGAGCTTAAGCCCTGTTTTGACTTTTGTGAACCCTTGTATTTTGGATTATTATCAAAGATATAATCTACTGTAAAACAGGCAATTAAGTTGCCCTAACTAGTTGTGATCATTGATTTGTGCTTGAATCATGCTGAGTGGAAACTCTGATTGTGAGAGGTGAAAAAAGTGATAACAATTATAACACAACTAGTGTTTTGTCAGAAGTGACCTTTACCCATAGAAATGTCTTATGAAGTGGCTTTAAGCCATAAATTTATGATGCGACATTTTCTCATATGTCTGACTTGACATTTCTTAATAAAGCCTATATAATTTTAGTTAAATTTGCAATTGGCTAGTCAGTGTTTGTAACTGATTGATTTATGAATATTTTGTAATCTATAGCATTTTGCCCATGTACTTTTCCCCCTAACTAGCAAAATGGGGTTAGGAAGAGAAAAATGTGGAGAGGGGAAAAATCTTTGTGTATATTCAACATTCCTGCTTTCTGTTTAAAAGCTTTGCGAGAAATCTGGCAATCTTCTACTTTGTGAAGGACCCTGTTATGGAGCCTTTCATTTGTCCTGCCTTGGGCTTTCTAGAAGACCAGAAGGAAAATTCATTTGCAGTGAATGTACTTCAGGCAAGTTTTTTGTTCAGAGCTTTAAAAAAAAGTTTTATCTTTAAAAAGAGAAATTGACAGAATTTTTTTGGTGATAGTATTATATATACACATATATATGTGTATGTATTTGTGTGTCTGAACTATTTTTGAAATTGTTATACCTAAGAAATTAATAGAAACAATTACTGCCCTTTCCCCTTGAAGTTATTGCTACCTGTTCCTTTTCTTCAATCCCGAGAACTCTCCTTCTGTCAAAATAATGTAATCCCTGATAACTTCATAGAATTTTCACCTTATTGCAAGTTGAGTGATTGCTGTGTGTACTCTTTTCATCTCTGGATTATAACATCAAACGATAAATAATCCTACATTTAAAAAAATGGTTTCTTTAAAAAAGATGTTTGTTTGACATGATTTTTTTAATTGTTGAAGTAAAATTGACTCATATATACTTTTAACTTTAGTGTCTTGAACTTTTTGCAGAATAACTTTTACTCTGTTGTCTGTTTAAAAACTAGAATGCTACAAAGTGTGGTTCCTTGGCTTACACTACATTGGAAGATTGTTAACAAATTAAAATTAGAGCCAAAATTTTGTACAAATAAAATTAACTCAGTGTAGAGAATTAACTATCTGGCTGTGCTGGAATTGTGATAGACATTCTAATCAGTAGGCCATTATTTGAAACTTGGAAATGTTTCATTATAAAGGTTAGTACCCATTGCAAGAAATAGTCATGATAACCAAAAACATCCATAAATGATTATTTCAATTCAGATTTGTGACCCACTTATTTCAGATTAGAATATACAAAATTATAATTTTACCAGAGAATTTGGTGAGATGTGACCTGTATTTGATTCTGAGTATTTCAGAGAATTCTTTTTAACTGTAGTGAAACCATATTAGTTCCAACTGTATAGTCTTGAGATTTTTGATAAGTGTATTTCACTTTGGTTCTATTTTATCTATGAAGAAAGGGTGTGGTGAGGTCATGCGACCTAGTGGAATAAAGGAGCTAGTCTCTGTCCTTACGACAGACATAGTGACTTTGTGACACTGACCAGATCGTGGAGCCTGTCAGTGCCCTAGGCAATTTTTTAAGAAATGAGTTGTAGAACAGGTGCTGTTTTCCATTGGTTGGGGAAGTTTCTTCATCAGGAGATCACTCTACCGATGAAAACATAGCATCCCTAAATCACAAATAAGTCATGCCTACCTACCCTCCCCCAAAAAGAAGCTTATTTAAAGAAAAGGGTTAGTTAAGCAAATTATGTAATAAGGTTAAAGGAAGGATAGGCACAGAAGTGTTATAATTCCTTTGAGAAACATTTGTTTTTATACAGTTATAAATTCTAATGCTTGTTACATAAGATTATTATTATCAGATGGTACTTTTCCCATAGTACTATTAACAGTTTTAGTTACTCCATGCTCTTGAGAGCTATAAAATTACATTTCTCCAAAATATTTTATAATTCAGACTTTACACTAATTTAGTTAAGCTTCTCCCTTAATTATCCTGTCAGATTTCACAACATGCATAACAATTCATCGTGCTTTTCCCTGAGTCATAACTACATCTCTTCAAAAGTACAAAAGGCTTCCTCAAGAAGTTTTGGTTTTCCCTTCACTAGAAGTCTTCAAGCAAATTCTGAATGACTGCAGATTGAAGTTATTTTAGAGTGGATTATTATTAACATTTGGGCTGGAATTAGGTGGCTTTTTTGATCCCTTCCAACTTAAATATCCTATGATTGTGTAAGAAAATGAACTACATTATTACATTTTGTGTTTTTTTCCAGCTATATCTGTGTGTTCGGGCTGAAACTTTGAAGAATGCTTCTCTATTACCAGGGCTTAAAGTTGTAGCTAGTATTTTTCCCTTTCCCCTCTGCCTCCCCCCCCCAAAAAAAATTTGAAAACTTGACCCCCTTGTAAAGGGAACATTTGATTTTAGAATGACATAAGTACTTAACTGTAATTTAACTTAACACTAATACTTCTCTATACCCAACTTTCCCTTTAATCATTATTAGGGATTCACTCGTGTTTTGTTTGTAAGGAGAAAAAAACAGAAGTGAAACGCTGTGTTGTATCCCAGTGTGGAAAATTTTACCATGAAGCGTGTGTGAAAAAATACCACCTTACTGTATTTGAGAGCCGAGGATTTCGTTGTCCCCTCCACAGCTGTGTAAGCTGTCATGTAACAAACCCTTCAAATCCAAGATCATCAAAAGGTATTTTGTTGTTGTTCAGTTGTTTCAGTCATGTCTGACTCTTCATGACCCTATTTGGGTTTTCTTGGCAAAGATACTGGAGTGGTTTGCTACTTCCTTCTCTAGCTCATTTTTACAGATGAGGAACTGAGGCAAATAGGGTTAAGTGACTTGCCCAGTTCATACAACTAGAAAATGTCTCAGGCTAGATTTGAACTTATGGAGATGAGTCTTCCTGACTCCATCCACTGCACTATCTAGCTGCCCTTTAAGGGTTTTAGAACCATGTAAAATTAATTTTTCTTCAAATAAGATGGGTAAGAAGATTTTTTTGGTCCCCCCCAAAAAAAAACTGAAAAAATCAATCTTAGAGATATATAATAGGACTTTTCCAGTTTCATAGGCTTTTTCTTTTTCCTTTTGAACATGCAACATTAGACAAGTGTAGTTGATAAACTCCTCCCCCAAAAAAAGCCTAAACTTTTTCACCTTGTTTTTTTTTTCTCTTAATCATTTGAATGAGGGAAAATTTATGGTTAAACATTCTTAGGGTTTTTTTTTTGTTTTTTGGTGAGGCAATTAGGGTTAAGTGGCTTGCCCAGAGTCACACAGCTAGTGAGTATTATGTGTCTGAGTCCAAATTTGAACTCAGGTCCGTCTGACTCCAGGGCCTGGGCTTTATCCACTGCGCCACCTAGCTGCCACTTTGATTAAACATTCTTGAAAGAAAGTTTAAATTTTAATTGATTGCTTTCCCCTAAAAGTTACTGCTGATTTTTCTCCATTGAGAATTTTTTTTCCCTACCTGGAGACCTTTTTAAAAAAAAGTGTATGTGACATTTCATGAATGATTAATTTAACAAAGCAAGTGTAGTATTCTTCTTGGCATAATTCATTATCTTATCTCATTGATAATGTGCCGCTTGTCATTTTTAAGTTATTGCATGAATACCCTTCATAAAGTTCTTCTCCATATTGGATTATGGTATAAAGATTATTCTGTGTACTTGAAGATTGTATTAATAGAGCAACAGATCCAGCAGCTCCTGCTTGGCTTTCTGACACATAAGTACAGGCCTGGGGACAAACTTTTTTTATTTGTTGGAGGATCAGCCTATCAGAATCAGGACAGGTTTATCACTAGAAAGCTAGCTGTACCAGGCAATGAATTATTTTAGCCACATAAACCCATATGACTGTGTTCTAAGGCAGGCCTATGCAACCTCTGGCCATTTACGGCCATGGGCTGCTTGCAGCATGCCAAAGGATTTTGGGTGGCCTGTGAAAAACATAGAGGAAAACATCCTCTACATTTTTCTCTGGCCGAAATCCTTTATTGTTTCCTCAGGCAGTAAGCGTCCTGGGGGCCAAAGGTTGTGCAGACCTGTTCTAAGGCATGGAAAAGTTGTAGTTTGCACTGGGGGAGGGAGCACCTGCATGGATCAAATCAGAGATCTTGAAGTATTGGTATATTTAAACATTTGTGTACTTGATAGGTAAAATGATGCGATGTGTTCGCTGTCCTGTTGCTTATCACGGAGGAGATGGCTGCTTGGCTGCAGGGTGTTCAGTGATTGCTTCCAACAACATTGTTTGCACTAATCATTTCACTGCTCGGAAAGGAAAAAGTCATCATGCCCATGTGAATGTGAGCTGGTGCTTTGTTTGCTCGAAAGGTAAGGCATTTTTTTTGTTTCATTTATATTTAATCTATTGTTTGGATACCTTTTATCATTCTACTGAAAATAGCTTTTCAATGCAGTCGCTATGCTTGTCACATTTTTAAAGTGCTAAAATATACAGCAATAGTACATAAGCATCCTCTGATGGTGACTGTTCACAGTTGTCAATAGGCAAACATAACATAGTAACATTTTTGCAATTGTTGCTACCATGTAAGAGAATATTTCAAACTAAAATTAGAGCAAAATGTAATAGTGGTATGAACAGTAACAACTTTAACGTATCAAAATGTCAGCATTTACAGTGTCATTTTTCTTGAATTAGTATTTCAAAGTTAAATATATCACAGTTAATTTTGTTATATATTATGAGAAGTTAAATCAAGACCTGAATTGGAGTAAACAAAAGCTAACTAAGGTTTTCCATTTCACATAGGGGGAAGCCTGTTATGCTGTGAGTCATGTCCAGCAGCATTCCATCCAGACTGTTTGAATATTGAAATGCCAGATGGCAGTTGGTATTGCAATGACTGCAGAGCTGGAAAAAAGCTTCATTTTCAAGACATCATTTGGGTCAAACTTGGAAACTACAGGTCTGTCTAATGAGTAGAAATTCATGCTGATTATGCCTGTGGTTTTTTCCCCCCTCTTTTCAGTTTAGATTAAATTGTGAAAAATATTTAAAATTATTATTCCTATCCATGAAAGGTTTTTAAGTATGTAATTTAAAAAATTTGTCATGTAGATGGTGGCCTGCAGAAGTTTGCCATCCAAAAAATGTTCCTCCAAATATTCAGAAAATGAAGCATGAGATTGGAGAGTTTCCTGTGTTTTTCTTTGGATCTAAAGATTATTACTGGACACATCAGGCACGAGTCTTTCCCTATATGGAAGGAGACCGCGGAAGCAGATATCAAGGAATTAAAGGAATTGGAAAAGTCTTCAAGAATGGTATTGAAATAAAAATACGTTGTTTAGTTTTTTTTCTAAAATGTCTTATGTTCACTATATTGATAGCCATCTTTTTTTCTTTGAAACTATACAGAAAAAAGGAAATAGAGCAAACATGTTGTATTTGCATTTTAAGACAAATAAGAGAAACTAAATTGTTTATAAATACTAGATTAGATAATATTGGATTAGAGAAGTATTAGTGTCATGAGTTTTTACTAGAGTAACATAGTTTGTATAAAGCTATATCCTGTGGCACTCTGCAGTATATCTATCTATCTATCTATCTGTCTGTATATATTCATTATTTGCAAGAATTAGTTATTTTAAATATTTTCTGGATTCTTTTATCTTACATATAAGTTTCATGTTTATCCGTTTTTTGACACTCAGAGAATTTGGGGTTAATAAAATACATTTTCATGTTAGTCTGGTTTTACTGTAAAGGAAAAAAGAGACTGTTGACATATTGTTACTGTACATCATTATGCCAATAAAGAACATAGTTTAAGCTGCAGTATAGTGGAATTCATAATTCAGTAAGATCCATTATTATAAGGTTTACTGCAATAGTTTTTTCTTTACGGTTTGACTGATCATAATTAGCTTCGATCCTTATCTACCCCAGTAGGATCATAGGTTTAGAGTTTGAAAGGACCGTAAATATCATTAAGTCCAACCCCTTCATTTTACAGATGAGGAAACTAAACTCCAGAGAAGTGATAGGCCTTGACCAGGGAGTAAAGTCAGTGACAGCCAGGATTCAAATTCCTGTCCTGTAGCTCCAGTCAGGGCTCTTTCCACTGTATCACACTGCCTTCCATGTTCTATTCTTATAGCTATGTTCAGGTATTCAAAATCTATTACTCAGCTAGTCTATGATATTCTCTACATTTGTTATAAAAACTTAAGAAAGATTTTCCTTCATTCAGATGTTTAGATTCATTTTTAGGATGAGTACAGAAATATCCTTTATAATAACCCCTTGTGGATTCAGTTATCATCTCTACACAGATGATTCCCAAATCTATATATCTAGCCTTCATCTATCTGCTGAGCTCCAGTCCCACATCACCAGCTGCCTTCTATACATCTCAATTTGAATCTCCTTATAAACATCTTATTGCACCTCACACACACTACATTCTACCTTCTCAAGCTAAACTGGCCAGTTTGTTCCTCCTCAAGCATGACATTCCATCTCCTGACTCAGTGGCTTTACACAGCCCTATTGAGGGCCTTACATGCTTTCTTTCCTTAGCTTAATTATAATATCTAGTTCCCACTAAGTCATAAATCTTTCCAAATATCTCCAATTGTTAATATTCTCATTTGCCCAAAAGGCAAAAAAAACCCTCCAGACTTTGTATATTTTATATTTATCTGTCTATATTTTCTGTTTTCCTTCAGTAAAATATACACTCCTTAAGGATAAGGTCTTTTTTTGACCTTTGCATTCCTAACACCTTGAACAGTGCCTAGTACCTGATAGATACTTAATAATTCTTGTTGAACTAAATTTGTTTCAAAATTAAGGATACAGATAGGGATGAGACCTGTGATTTCATTAGTACTGGGAAGTTCAAAAAGAGGGAAAACTCCTTTTACCAATGCAGATGGGCGTTTTCTCTGTATAGTCTTGGAGAGTGACCTACACTGTGAGAGATGGAGACTTTCCCAGGGTCACACACTCAGTTATGTGTCATAAGCAGCTCTCTTGCTTCAAGGACAAAGTTGACTTCAGAATTAGATTTTAATATTTGTCCAAATTGATGAGTTACTACTGAGTTGTCAGATACAACTAAATACAATGTTACTAAGAAGAACAGTTTTAAAAAGTAGAAAATCAATAATAAACCCCAAACATACTCAAAAGAAGAATTTAGACAAAGTAGATGTATTTGATTATGTGAAAGATGCACAACTACAAACAACATGCAGAATAAGAAAGATATAGATTAGGGGAAAAAATCTTTGTATTGAACAGGTTTGGTAAATTCTGGCATTTAAAATCTATAAGAAATTTGATGTAAGAGCCGTTCTCCAATAAGGAAATGGTTGCAGAACATAAACAAGAATTTCTCAAAAGAAAAAACAAACTATCAGCAATTATTTGAAAAAGGTCCAAATCTCTAATTTGAAAAGTAGTTTTGAGAATTCTAATTTGAGTCATGAAATTAAAATAGCTCTGAAATAGAACCTTATAACCATTAAATTAGCAAAGACACTTTTAGATAGCAAAGACTCTCTTAGATAATAAAATTCAGTGCTTGTGTGACTGTGGAAAAATTGACATGTTAATTGACTTGTGGTGCTGTGAATTGTTTCAGTCTTTTTTTTAGGTATAAATATAGAATTATATAGTAAGAGTTATAACAGTGTTTGTAGCCTTTATCTCAGCAATACCATTTCATATTTTATGCCCTAAAGATGTTACTGACAAGAAAAAAAGACCAATATGTATAAAGATAGTCCTAGTTACAGTATTTGTATAGCTAGACAAATCTTGGAAATAAACAATACCCTAACAACTTGGAAATGATTGAGACTAAATTATAGTGTATGAGTGTAATGGAATATTATTATGCTGAAAGAAAGTAGAAATAGGAAAAATTCATAGAAAAATGCTGTGACTTGAAGTAGAGAGGAAAGAATTAAAGGAAAATGTACCCAACTACCACAGCTATGTAAATACAGACAACATTAAGAAACAATAAAGTCTATGTTACATACATAAGATAATTTTGCTCTGTCTGAATAAAGTTAATGTATACAGTTTTTCAATCAATAAATTTTTATTAAATTTACTAAGTGCCTACTCTGCCAGGCATGGTGTTAAGAGCTAGGAATACAAACACAAAAGACAGTCCCTTACCCTTCATTAGCTCACAGTCTAATGGGGAGATAATATGCAAACTGTGTATAGAATAAATAGGAAATTATGAACAGCGGGAAGGCACTAGAATTAAGAAGGATTAAGAAAGGCTTCCTGTAGGAGGTGGGATTTTAGCTAGGAAGCCAAGAAGCAGAAATGAGGAAGGAGGGCATTCCAAGGCATGGGGGACAACCAGTGGAAATACTCAGAGTTAGAAAATATGGAATAATCTTGTGGGAGGAACAGCAAGAAGGTCATTGTCAGAGTACATGGGGTGAGTAAGGTATAAAAAGACTGGAAGGGTGTATGGGGGGAAGTGTGGGGGATAAATTATGAAGAGCTTTGAATGCTAAACAGAAGATTTAATATTTTGTCTAGGAAGGAACAGGGAGTCACTGGTTTATTGAGAATGTTGGAGAAGAGTGACATGGTCAGACATGCACTTTAGGAAAATCACTTTGGTGGCTGAATGGAAGATGGTTTGGAAAGGGAAAAGACTTGAGGCAGGCCAACCCAACAGCAGGCTATTGCAGTAGTACAGGAATGAGGTGAGGAGGCAGTGTCAGAGGAGAGAAGGGGGCATATTCAAGAGATGTTGCAAAGGTGAAATCAACAAGCTTAGGCACCAGATTAGATATGGGAGGCAAGAGATAGTGAGGAGTCAAGGATGACACCTCGTTTGCAAGCGTGGGTGACTGAGAGGATGGTGATGCCCTCAACAGTAATAGGGAAGTTTGTGGGGAAAATAATGAGTCAGTTTTGACTTGTTGAGTTGAATATGTCTATAAGACATTGAGTTCAAGATCTAATAGGCCATTGGTGATGTGAGAATGGAGGTTGGCAGAAAGATTAGAGCTGTATAAGTAGAATTGCAAATCAGCATATAAATGATAATTGAATCCCTGGGAGCTGATGAGATCACCAAGTGAAGTAGTATAGAGGAAGAAGAGAAGAAAGTTTAGGATAGAGCTCTGTGGGACACACATGGTTAGTGGGCATGACCTAGATGAAGATCTATCAAAGGAGACTGAGAAAGAGTGGTCAGATAAGTAGTAGGAGAACCAGGAAAGTAGAGTCACAGAAACCTAGAGAGAAGAAGAGTATCAAAGAGAAGGTGGTCAACATTGGCCATATTTGACTTTTAAAACTCTTCATAACCTGGCCCCTTTCCACCTTTCCATTTTTCTTCCATCTTAACTCTCTCTACATTTTCTGAGATCCACTGATTAGCTTCCTTGCTGTTCCTCAAACAACACACTCATCTCTTGACTCTCACTGGCTGTTCTCCCTGCTTAGAATTCTCTCCCTCCTTGTCTCCACCTCTTGACTTCTCTGGCATTCTTCAGGTCTCAACTGAAATCCTGTCTTCTGTACAAAAGCCTTTCCCAATTCCCCTTGATGCTAATGCCTTCTCTTTTCTGAGTTTATCTCCATTTATCTTGTACATAGCTTATTTGTGCATAACTATTTTCATGTTGATTCTTCCATTAGACTGAGCTCCTTGAAAACGGATGTTCCTTTTGGCTTTTTTTTTTTTTTTGTATTCCCAGTGCTTAGCACTCTATCTGATATATAGTTTTTTCATTTGTTTGTTTTTGGTTTTTTTTGGCTAGGCAATGCGGTTAAGTGACTTCCCCAGGGTCACACAGCTAGTAAGTGTTATGTGTCTAAGGGCACATTTGAACTCAGGTCCTCATGACTCCAGGGCCAGTGTTCTATCTACTGCGCCACCTAGCTGCCCCCTGGTACATAGTATTTTATAAATGCTTATTGACTTTGTTTGTTTTTAAAAATGTTCTCTTTTCTCATCTCTGTTTGTGCTTGTTGATGGAATTTCAAATTTTTATTAATAAAGTTTTTTTAATTAATGATAATATCTAAGTATTAAGTTAAGATGAAAATGTATTTTCAATCATAGACACACTTGTGTCAGCCTTATGTAGAGTAAGAAACTGGGAAGTATTCTTTATTGAGAGTAAATCATAAATTTTTTTTCCTTTTCTTTTATTATGCGAGTCAATGGGGTGAAGTGACTTGCCCAGAGTCACACAGCTAGTAACTGTCAAGTGTCTGAGGCCAGATTTGAACTTGTATTCCTGAATCCAGGGCCAGTGCTCTATCCACTGTGCAACCTAGCTGCCCCTCATAAATTTTTAAAAACAGGTTTTTATTGATATCTTTTGTTTTTACAAAACCTACATTTCCCCTAGTATTATCCTTCTCTGATCTCAGAGAACCTTTATAACAAAGAATTTTTTAAGAAGAAAAGGAGGGGACAATTCAAAACCAATGAACACGATGAAAACATCTGATGTTTTATGCTGCGTTCTGCACCCATGTTTTCCATCATTCCAAAGAAGGAGGAGGCGTTGTCTTCTCATCTGTCTTCTTTGGGCCCAAGCATGGCCTTTATAATTTGGCAACATTTAGTTTGGGTTTTGGTTTTCTTTCCATTTACATTGCTGTCAGTGTATATATTGTTTTCTTGGCTTGGCTTCATTTTGCATCAATTTATATAAGATTTCCATGCTTCCTTGTATTCATCATTTTCATATTTTCTTAGAGCACAGCAGTATTCCATTACATTCATGTACTGCAGTTAGTTAGGCCAGTCCCTAGTTGATGGCATCTACTTTGTTTCCACTTCTTTGTCACTACAAAAATTACTGCCAAAAATATCTTAGTGTATATTTAAACTTTAAATTCTTAGTGTCTTTTTCATTTTGTAACATAAGCCAGCATTCTGGATCAATTTAGCCATAAAATGACATTTGAGCAAGAGAAATTTTCAGGAATATAGAATAAAAGAGAGATGAGCTAATTGTATTAACAAGATTTCATACCCATATTTCATCAACTTTTTTAGCACTGCAGGAAGCTGAAGCTCGTTTTCGAGAAGTAAAGCTTCAGCGGGAAGCCAGAGAAACCCAGGAAAATGAACGTAAACCTCCACCTTACAAACACATTAAGGTGAGACTTTTAAATGTAAATATTTGAAGAAATTATTAGAGCATAGTGTTGAATGCAACATTGAGAAATTGGATAATTAGGTATTAATGAAGTTTAAATTGTTAAACATTTGTTGTGAATAGCTATGAATCTCAACAATGGACAGTTTGTATGGGCAAGCACACATTTATTATATGGTGTCATCATCTTCAGTAAATAGTGCCATGTAATACTATGGACAAGCCCAAGACAAATATAAAAGTACTTCAACACCAAGCAGTATGTGAACAGTGCAATATGAATAGTGCAGGTGATAATTTTTGTAGGAATTCTTTGAAAGATCACCCAGATAAAGAGCAAAATGATGTCATTTTGGAATTTAGTCTACAGGAATATCCCTTATAAGATTTATTACATAGAAGGGATGGGTTTTAAGTTTTACTTGCCATGGTTAGGTAGGATTTCAAGAAATCTAGGGGTGAACAAAAAGCGTTTCAAACAGTCATGGAATTCACAGTTGCACTCATGGGGAGATGGTCTGCTTGTGAGGGAAGTAAGCGATAATTCCATTGTAGTAGAAGAAAGTAATGGGAGCCAATGTATGGATGAGGTAGGTTACAGCCAGACTGTGGAGGACCTTGCTTTTGAGCATGGTGTCTGACATAGTGAAAGTCGTTGTAACTTTGTGTAGCTTTGATCATTGGAATTTGAGATTGAAGGGATGTTGTAGTATTTGAGGGTAAGAAAAAAATGAGCCAAATTAGAGAGATAGTGTTGGAATTGAAAGGACCTAGTAATTGGAGTTCACTAATTGAATATTTTTGTTCAGCACCAGTTAATGATGCCCATGTGCTTCCTGTTCTCAAATGGCTCATAATGTTATGATCACAATCTAGACACCAGGACCAGAAAGATCAAAGAGTCATCTCCCTGTCCCCTTTGTGTATTGTTTCTTTTCAGTTTCAGTGATAGGAGCTCCACTCAATACCTTGTCTCTGTGTCACTTTTCCCTACTACTGATAAAGTCTTTTACCTTTTGTTTTGTGAGGTCTTTGATTCTCCTTAAAATAAGTAAATACATACATACATATATATTTTACACATATACACATCCATGTACACATACACACACATACTCCATAAGCATGTACTCTGATTTTTAATAAAGTAGGACCCATCAAGGCTCTCTCCCCTTATATTTGATAATGCCACACCTTTAGATCCTTTTGGCTACCCTCCATTATATCATGGAGATGAGTATACAATTGAATGAAAGTAGAAGAAGAATCATTTTCATTGAATACTTTTTGGTTTTTCTTTGCTTCTCCCTCTACTGCCTTCTCCAGATTGGTATTAACTGAATTTAGAAAATTTGGAATTACCCATCCATTGTTGGTAAACTGTTGTACTCTAATGATGTCCACGTCCTGTTCTTTAGTCTCAGAAAAAAAGGCAAATAATTAACATTAATAAAATGTTGGCTGGATTTCTCATTTCACCTATAATGTATAAGATTTAAGGAACCTCATTGAAAATGAAGGCATATGAGGGATTCAGGTGTCCTGCCTTCCTTTAAAGTAGTTTAATTTCTACATTCAGGTGAATAAACCTTGTGGAAAAGTTCAAATATATACAGCTGATATTTCTGAAATTCCCAAATGCAACTGCAAGCCCACAGATGAAAATCCCTGTGGTTTCGACTCGGAGTGTTTAAATCGGATGTTAATGTATGAGTGCCACCCTCAAGTTTGTCCAGCAGGAGAGCAGTGCCAAAACCAGTGCTTTACCAAACGTCAGTACCCAGAGACAAAGATCATCAAAACTGATGGCAAAGGCTGGGGCCTGGTTGCCAAGAGGGACATTAAAAAGGTATGCAATATTTTTTCCCTGTAAGAGAATCAGAAAAGAGTGGTCTTTCAGAACTTTATTTAGAGTGGTCACTTGATCTAAAATTGGAAAACTTCTCAAAATATGATTAAACTCCTTACCTTTAAAATTTCTGTCCTGAAGCAAAGGTGGGAGTACTAGTTTGGTATTATAGGAAAGAAAATCTTACTCAAAAAGACAGCCCTGACCTTTGGAAGAAATAGTTAGTAGTCATGAAGAATTCTGCTATTGAAAGGGACGGAATGGAAAAGAGTGCTACTTCAGTTCTGTACAATCCCAAGTAGTAGGATTCAGGTAATATACTTAAATTCTTCTTTATGCTACCGCTTTAAAAATGTGTCTACAAATGTTTTTTGAATGCCTTTTTATCTTTGCTGCTGTGGTTCCAGAGTCCAAAAAAGTCTGCTGGTATAGATGCTTTAGTTCAACAAGAAGTAAATGAATATCTAGCTGGAATCCTGTGATAGATTAAATGGCAATCTTGTTTTTGTAAGAATGAACAATTGAGCACATGTAATGGAATTCTTCCCTTACCTCTCTAAATTTCTGTTTTATCCAGTCCATTTTGCTGTGTTTGACAGACTATATAAAAAGATTTCCCCACAGGAGATGTAATGGTCATATTAAAAAGAAGTTGTCATTCTAATCCAGTTTTTAAAGACCATTCTTTTCTTATTTTCTTGGTATCAAGTTTGATTCTGGGATGTTTAGGGGGAAGAGAGGCACTACCAGTGAATATCCTGAATGGTTAATGATATATTATGTGTGGTGAGGGTGAGGGGGTAGAAATAGAGGGATGGCTCACAGGAAGATCTGCTTTTGACACATACTGACTATGTGACCCTGAGGGATTCGCTTCTCAATGCCCTGTTAACTCTCTAAAACTACTAAGCAGATGCTAATCTGTACTGGTAAGGAAGTTTTCCTCCATCAGAGTTCTTTATACTTGTAAAGTTACAAGGCTGTTCTTATTGAATTAATCAGAAATGATGCCTAGAGAGATTGCCGTGACTCTCTTGGGGCCCCTAAAGTTTCCTAGACCTTAGAGAAGTTATTTGGTCTGGAAGGCATAGAGCTGAAAGGCAGATTGCATGTCACTAAGATTTCGTAGCTCAGACTTAAAAGTCTCTGATAATTTTCTGTGGTTATCTTCTGTTTTAATGAACAGACCTAGGAGAAAGCTTTCTTACAGAGGCAACAATTGTTTAGAGAAGTGACGTGGGTTAGAAATCCTTTAAAGCCTAAGTGGCATGTCCTTTGCAGTCAACCCCTGTTTCAGCTCTTCATTCTTAGGATCAAGCAATTCCTGCACTGTTTGGTAGTCTAGGAAAAAGTATATGAGCTGGGACATATGATTTTTATGCTTCAACCAAGTGCATTCTAAGCCTGTGGCTTTCTACAACCCACCTAAGGAGAGAATTAGTTCATCGGATATCTTTTGATCAGTACTTTAATATTAAGATGAGACTCTGTTCCTGTCCTAATTGATGTTGATGTAGGATATAAAATGTTCTCTTTGAACTATGTGTGGTATATTATTTATTATAGCTACATCCTTCTAACCTACAGGGAGAGTTTGTGAATGAGTATGTTGGAGAATTAATTGATGAAGAAGAATGTATGGCAAGAATCAAGTATGCACATGAAAATGACATCACACATTTCTATATGCTTACTATTGATAAGGTAATTCCAGGTGAATTTACATGGTAAATTTGAGATTTCTTAATGTTTTGTACTATGATGGTATCTTTAACACAGTTAATCCATTATAAATAATACTTTTTCTTTCTTTTATGAAATTATAGTCTTTCTTCCCTCTTTACCTTTTTAAAGGTAAAGGTAAATCTTTACTTTTAAGGCAACTAGGAAGCATAGTGGATAGAGCTCAGGGCCTGGGGTCATGAAGACCTGAGTTCAGGTTTGGCCTCTAAGCAAGTCACTTCTGCCTGCCTCAGTTTCTTCAACTGTGAAATGGGGGTAATAACAACACCTACCTCCCAAGGTTATGAGGATAAAGTGAGATCATATTTGTAAAGCATTTAGCACAGTGCCTGGTACATAGTAGGCACTATATAAATGCTTATTTATTCCCTTCTCTTCTTTATTAACATTGTAGTCAGAGTTAAAAAGCTTTGGATTCAAATCCCACTTCTGCCACATTCTAGCTGAGTGACCCCTGACAGGTCACCTAATTACTCTGTGTTCTAGGCTACTCTCTAAGACTGTGAGCTGCAGAGTCAGGAGTTCTCTATATCAATTTAAAACACAGGTCCAGTCCTTTCCTATTAACAGCATATTTCTTGAGTTTTTTACTCTGGAGTGACTAGTACAATCCACAGCATAAATAAGAGGCTTGCATTTATCTTTTTTTTTTCTTTTTTGGTGGGGCAATCAGGGTTAAGTGACTTGCCCAGCTAGTAAGTATCAAAGGTCTGAGGCTGGATTTGAACTCAGGTTCTCCTGACTCCAAGGCTGGAGCTCTATCCACTGTGCCACCTACCTGCCCCTTTGAATTTATCCTCTTTTGAAGCAGAATATTTCATCAGCTCCCATTTAACCCAGCAGGTATTTGTTAAGTACCTACTGTGTCCAAAATGTTATGGATACAAAGGCAAAATGAAACTGTCATTAATGTGAAGACTTACATTCTTCCATTCCGTAGAGAAGGACAATAACCTCTTTAATGATTAAGAGATGGAAATGCATTAGTAATGCAGGTGTAAGAAGAGAGGAGTTGTGTAACTTGCAAGCCTTTGGGAACAGCAGCAGGAAGTGTTCAGCCCAGGCCACCTCTAGTCCATGGCATTGAGGTGTGTAGTACTCTATGCTCAGATGCCAGAGTGAGCCCTGACAATCTCACTTTCTGAATTGTCAGCATTCCAGGGTGGCTAATCACAAGTCAGCATAGGGATCAGGTGAATCAAGCAAGGTGAAGGGCTCAACCTAAAAGATCGGTGGGGAGTATAGCCAGAGCCTAGCACAAAGCTGATGACAAGATGAGTAAACCTAAGAATACATCAGCTGGTACAAAAAAATTATTGCAAACTTAGAGATCTTCCCAAAAGACATAGTAACTATCTAACAAACAGAGACTGACAAGAAAACAGGATTTTCCATAAGGACTACACAAATACATGGAAGAATGAAGAGATAAATAAAAGCTCTGAATGAAAGAATTCTTACCTAAGAAATGGACTCCCTAAAAACTAGACTAGACCAAAAAAATAAATGATTCCATGAGACAGCACAAAATAGTAAAAACAAAATCAAAAGATTGAAAAAAAAATAGAAGAAAATATAAGATATCTGATGTTAAAAACAACTGAACTGGAAAATAGATCAAGGAGAGATACTTTAGGAATCTATCAGACTCTGAAAAATCATGATTAAAAAAACCCAATCCTGAACACTATAATTCAAGTAATCATAAATTAAAATTGCTTGGATATATTAGAGCCAGAAGGAAAAGTAAAGATAGAAAGAATCCACCAGTCACCTCTGGAAAGAAATTCCAAAAGGAACAATCCCAGGAATGTCATAGCCACAACCCAGAGTTCCCACATCATGCCATGAATATCTACAAAGAAGCCTTTCAAGTACCTAGGATCATATAAAAAGTATCAGCGTCTGCCATTAAAAAAGAAGAGGAAATCTTAAAATTCAGTATTCCAAAAGGCAAGAGAGAGAGTTTTGCAACCAAGAAAAACTTACGCTGAAAAGTTGAATATTTTCATACTGGTGGGTGTTGGGGAAGTGGAGGCATAAATGGACCTTTAATGGATTAGAGGGCTTTCAAGTATTTCTGATCGATAGACCAGAGCTGAATAGGAGCTTTGAAATACAAACACGAGAGCCTAGAGAAACCTAGAAAGGTAGACATATTTGAGCATTTGGAGCTTGATGCTGATGTAGCACTAATATTCTAATAGGGGGAGAAGAAACTTGTGTCCTTTCAGAACCTAAATATCTCCAAATAATACTAAGGGAGTTAAATTTTAAAAAACAGATTTTGGGTGAGGAGTATACTGGTTCTGTTCTGAGAGTTCTAAGGAGGGAAGGGAAAAGGAAAAATAAACTAGTATAAAAAGGACAAAGTGGAGGGGGACTTGCTATTTCTCGTGATTGGGCTGTACAGACACGGAAGGAGTGGGAAGAATGGGTGTCAGATGAACCTCCTATGTGAAATGGACAGAGGAGGGTTGAAAACATGTACACAAAGTTTGGTGTAGAAATACTATCACATGCAACAAGAAAACAAGCAGGAATGGGGAGGGGGAGACAAACACTTAAGAGAGGATAAAAACAGGAAAGGAGCAGTTACAAGCAAAACTAACTTCTGCTCTTAAAGGTTAGAGAAAAAAGGGGGAAAAAATGGAATCTAAGGAGGTCCTTTAGCTTGCCTCAGACATTTGGAGAGTGGCTGAACAAATGTGGTATGTGGACATAATGGAATATTATTATTCATGTGAAATTATAAAAGAGATTATTTCAGAGAATCCTAGGTAGTATAAAATTGTGCAGAGTAAAGTGGGCAGAATCAGAACAATTTCTACAAGGACAGAAACTTTGTAATGAAAAACAACTTTGAAAGACTTAAGAATTCTGATCATGCAGTCTCCAAACATGTCTGCAGAGTGCTGATGGTGAAGCATGTTACCAACCTTTTGGCAGAGATGCGATGGGACAGGAGGTGCAGCAAGAGACAGGCATTTCTGGCTGTGGATTCATTTTGACTATACTTATTTGTTACAAGGTTTTCTTTTTCATTTTGCTTTTTAATTGGGGGGAGGGATTAGTAAGAATGATGCCTAAAAAGGGCCACTAAAATATTTGTCAAAAAGGACAGAAGGAAGCAGACAAGAAGGACCATTTTGAAAGCAGATATTTGTTAAGTACCTACGGTGTCCAAAATGTTATGGATACAAAGGCAAAATGAAACTGTCATTAATGTGAAGACTTACATTCTTCCATTCCGTAGAGAAGGACAGTAACCTCTTTAATGATTAAGAGATGGAAATGCATTAGTAATGCAGGTGTAAAAAGAAGACAAAATTGTGTATATATGTGTATTATTTATACACATATTATATAAACATATAATACATGTGTGTAGATATACTTGTATATAAAGCATTATGAAATAGATTTATGGTTTCATTTAGAATTCCCTTTTTTATATTCTGCTGTGTATATAGATAGACATGCTTCCATTTTTTGATGTTTAAGTTCAGAATTGGGAAAAAATGTTTTAAAAAGGAACAGAGGAAAGCCCAGAGAATGGGTAAGTGTATGTATCTTAAGACATAAGCCTTCATATTGTGATTGGGTGTTTTTTGGTGCTAAAAATAGTGGCCTGACCTGAAGTTTTAAGTCAATTTTGAATTGATGAAAAATTCCTAGAGCATCAGATTTGCCCATATTTGGATATAAGCATAAAGAAAGTCATGTTTGGCAATCAGTCAGTTAATCAACAAGCATTTATTTATTACCTGTCTATTGTGTGCCAGGTACTGTGTGTCAAGTACTGAGAAAAGAAAAGAAAACATTTGTTGCTGTCATGCAGCTTATATTCTACCTGCAGAAGATTTGTATTTACACATTTGGAAAAAAGATGGTAATGATGTTTGTTACATTCCTTAAAATGATTAGTGGCTTTCTTAAAGGGAAGTTAAATAAACATCCTTAAAAGATAGCCTTCGGGTTTTATTTACACTACGTTTTGTATAAAGTAAAAGATCTTAAGAATCTGTTAGTTAGTGGGCAGACATTGAAGAAAATCCCTAGCCTGCTTATTTAAAGGGCTTTATGGTTAAGAGAGCTCCGAACATATGTTCTTTTTAGAGGAAAATGATCCAAGCCATACCTTAGAGGGCACCTTATCCTTGTAGTTGACATTGTTGTTAGAATGTAAACTACTTGTGGGCAGAGGCTGTTTTTTGCCTTTGTTTGTATCCCTAGCACTTCGCATAGTTCCTGGTGCCTAGTAAGCACTTAATAAATGCTTGTTGACTAACCCACTGACCTTGCAGAATTCATTGCATTATTCCATGATGAGTCTCAGGGGAAATTGTCCTGTCTCAAGCTCTTTTTTAAGTCATTTATATCATAGTATGTTTTCATGCACAAGTGAATCTTTGGCCTCTGGGAAACCAGCATCACTATTGCAAAGGCCAATCCATCAACAAATCCTAACAATCTTACATGTATTAGGGTGTGTGTTAGTGGTTGTGGCAGGATAGACAGTAACAAGAAAGGTAAGACAAGATCCTTATACATTAGCACAGTAGAGTCTTAAATGGAGAAACTCAGTAATAGGAAATGACTAAAGCAAGCTGACTGCTCCTCTAAGCTACGTCTCAAAATTTGTCTTGTTAAAGTACATATCAGTATAAAACAGTATATGACTAGTAAGGAAAGGATATTAGAAACAAGTTTTGTTGTTCTTGAGTTGTATCTTTGTGACCTTATTTGGGGTTTTCTTGGCAAAGATACTGGAGTGATTTGCCAATTTCCTTCTCCAGCTCATTTTACAGATGAGGAAACTGAGGCAAACAGGGTTAAGTGACTTGCCCAGGTCACACTGCTAGTAAGTATCTGAGCCAGATTTGAACTCATGAAGAAGAGTCTTCCTGATTCCAAGCCTGGCACTCTATCCACTGTGCCACCTAGCTGCCCAAGATACA